TATGTTTTGTATTTGAGGTACTTACATAAATTGTTTTTAATGTTTCAATTTAAACGTTTTTATTTATAAAATAATTAATTTTTAGAGTTGAATGTATTAATAAATGTATTCATTTATATTTTTTTTATTTAATACAACTTAAAATTATTTACTTGAATTTGTCAATCTATTAGCAAGTATTTAATTTGAGCACAGACAAAAATATTTTTCATAATATTATATTTCATTACTTAGGTACACCTTTCTCTGTAAGTAATTTTTATCATATAAGATGAGTACTCCGAAAGTATATTCATTTAGAATCATTTTAATTGAAAATCGTATCTAAATGGTACATGTAAGGTCTTAATTTTTTTCGTTTCTCTACAGCTTTTCTGCGCGCAAAGAACTCATCAACAATTTTCAAAGAAATCTAAGCTGGTGCTTCTTGATCAATATCTACCAAGAACATAAAATTCTAAGAAAAGTCAGAAATGTATTTTAATAAATTGGCCTCAAATTTAAGATCACAATTCACCATAACTGCTAGTATAAAAATAGTACAATTTTAAATGTTTGGTACATTTTTATTTCAGTAAAAAACAATGGCACTTTTTTCATTTATTCGAATAAAAACGGTATAAATTTAATAATCATCATAAATCTGATATTCATAACTTTATATTTCTGAATATTATGAACTTTAAATTAACTGAACTTCGGATAACATACTATTATTATTCGTTCATCCTAGTTGAATAAAATTACAATCCATTTTTAGTTTAAATGAACTTAGTATTCAGGGATTTATTAGTTAACTAAGGTTTGACAAGTAAATGTGGTTTAACAATGATACACCTAATATTACGCTTCTTATTCGAAAGTTATTTGCTGAAAAATAATTAAGTTTTAATATTTATGTGAGTTACGATGACACTTTAAGTGAATGGCCACCAAATAATTTTAAACAAACTGCATTCATGCCCATATTAATAAATTGTTTGTTATAAGGTCAAATTCTGGTTTGGGTTCTATTTGAATTAAGTTTATGATGATGAAGCAAACTAGTCTATTATAGGATAAATCTGTCTATTTTGTTAAAATTACTTTGTAAGTCCAATATACTAGGCACTATCCAACTAACTTAATAATAACTATAATTTGATTTATTGCTAACCGATAAATTAAACGATTATCTACCAGCTCAGAAGTCAAAAGTAAGATTGATATAGTCATGAATTACATGAGGTTTTAAAATAATTAAGTTTAATATAAAAGCATTTAGTAATATTCTCAGGATTTTTATTGTTATTGTTATACTTTTAATAGATTATCTTTATATAGGTAATATAACATTATAGAAATAAAATACTTTCGAGGAACACTTTGAACAGTCAAACGTATATTAACAGAATATTTAAAATACGAAGACCTCAGGAAAGAAAATTACTTATCTGAGTAATTATTTCCAATCTTAAGACCAGCAAAGAAGCGAATACCAGAGTTTCAAATTTTTTGAAAATGTCAGAATTACTAACTTATATAACTTAATTTAATTGAGCAAAATAACAAATAAAATATTGTTTTTAAAAAAAAAAGAAAAAAATGTAATTAAATAACGAAATGCTAATAAGTAATAACCATTTCCGTTGAAGCGTTTTGTTCAAAAAAAAAAATTACTTTTAGAACTTATTAATTTTTTATTCGTGTTGTATAATTACTATAGGAGAGGAATTTCAACTATTTCACAGTGATTTTTAAAATGTTTTAAATATTTAAATTTAATGAAATATTTTCAAAAAGATGTGAATTATGTAGGAAGCGGTATATGTATATAATATACATAAATTGTACAAGGTAGTTTTAGTAGTTGTTCAAATTTAAGTATTTATTTTGACAATATAAGTTACTTTAACCTACCTTGTATTTTTTTAAATAAATATCGACTTAATCAATATATATTTCATATTAAAACATGACAGTCATTAAATTGTTTTCATCCATACAATATTATATAATTTCAAATTTTGGTCGTTGTCACTATTTTAAAGTTTTGGATACAATTAACTTTATTCAATTATCTCCAAATATTCAGAAGGTACTGAAGTAGCTTAAATTAATTTCATCAGAGAAAAAAACAAGCTCTCAAATTTTATAATAATTAATTTATGTGACAAGTCTAATACAGTTTAATCAATCATAATGTTTCATTGATAATACTAATTTTATTTTGTGAGTTAAATACTATAATATATTAGCTGTTTTTAAAATTGACGTTAGTATCCGATTATAAAAGATACACACTTTATTTGGTGGTACTTAACCTTAACAGTAGGGACCAACAACTAATAAATCTAAGATTAATTATAAGCATATCATACTCATTTGTTCATCATCTCATAATATGGTAGCCACTAATTCCAGGTAAAATAGGCCGTAAAATCGATTTGATTTAAATTGTGTTGTAATTGGTTGCAGCAGAGTAAATACTGTAAAACTCATTTGCTACAGAATCAATAAAATAATGTAATGAGGTGGAATCGCTAAATACGTTTTTGGATTAAATAAGAAATAATAAGATCATTTAAGACGTATATTATTGTATATATTACAAAGTTACCTTGTATAAAACAAATTATAAGCCTTAAAACAGTTTTTACACGCTTTAAGCTTCAAGAACCCATTGGATCACAAAATATACCGAGAACACAAATTCGAATAACATTATGTTTGTTATTTAAAATATGTATAATATTTGTTTTAATTTTTTTAACTATAAAATATATACTATGTACACATCTTATAATATAATATCAGCATAAATATAAAAAAAGTATTTCCATACGAACTGCATACAATTGCAAGATTAATTATTTTGTATACTTTTGTTCACTATAGCCTGAATACGAAATAAAGCGATAAATATTTAGTATTCCACTGGTATTGTGAATAAATAAACACTGAAAGTCTTTGAAATATTATTAAAAACTTGTATAACTTATTTTATTATTTACAAGACGAATAATGCATAAATGTACAATCGATCAAACTGTTGTGTACGGTGAGGTTTAGTATGCATATAAAGATTTGCAAAAAAAAATTTAATGACCCGTATTTAAAATGAAATACTAAATAATTTTAATTGTATTTATGTCTTACGATAAAACGCAAAAAATAAATTGTATAAATTCAAAAATTGTATTAGTTATAAATTATAATACAATAATTACGCTATGTTGCTCCACAACAATATATAACTTCTTATCTAAAAACAATTGATAATATTTGTTGTTATCAATACACAAATATCCAACGAGTTTAAAAGGAATTTGAATTAAGATCCTCAACTTGTGACACGCCATAAAAACAAAGGATAAACATTATGAGCATTGATTTTTCTGTGTAATCTTCGGTGAAAACTACGTTGTGTTCCGACATTTATGTATTCATTTATAAATGAATAGGTTTTTTTAGGATGGGCAAATTATTATAAATATGTTTTACTTATTTGATCGAAAAATGTAGTTGGGAGAAAAGTTACTCCATTTTACTCCTAAAATATTATATCAATGACTGCCTACGACACGATTGAGCATACAAGACCTTTTTTCAGACACGATTGAGCAAATTTGTCGGCTTATCAAAGAAAATCAAAGTACAAAAGAAAACCTACACGACTATAAAGAACTCTGTAATTTTAAACTATATCATAAAAAAATATTTATTTAAATAATTGTTTTAGTAAAAGAGAAAAAAACCGATTGCAAAAATGGAGTAGATAAAGGGTTAGGGAAGGGTTAGTTTTAAAATATGAATAAAAGAAAGAGAACGAAGCTACCTTGGCGTTTTATTAGGTATTAATAAGAGCTATTTGTGATTTATACTATTTTTTTATACTTATTTTTATTTTAAATTTAAATTAGTCAATAATATTAGATTGAAATAAATATGTATGTAATACCTCGTTTAATATAAAACGAAATATATATAATATTTTGGTGTGGATCAATGCACGCTATTTTATCATAGGATTTTTAGTCTAAAATATCCAATTCTAATTAATAAACTATATTGTGTGAGTTTCATTACTGTTATATAAGCATTACTCATATTAGTATTTAATATATTAGATATTTTATATTTATCTTACACCTTATTTAGTTTATTAAAAATATATATTGCATTATTATGATTGGACACAATAGTATATCAAGGATATAGGTATTGGATAAAATTGACAGGTGGTAAAGAAAATAACATGAGTGTTTTTCGATCATAAAGACTAAGATGAATATACCAATGTAAGTTTGTACGTGGTGTTTAAATCAACGCAATATTTTAAAGATATATTTGAGGAGATAGTTAACGAACAGCGGATGGTGATAGGAATCAGGACTGACGAGAGGACACGATGCAACCGTAATGGAATGATAATTCTAGTTAGACTAAATGCGGTCAAGAAGACATTCGCGTTCATTAAACTGCTGTAAAATGTTAAGGTATGAGAATAATGAACGAATGATATGGGAAGAGGTGGCAGATATGGTACCTAATGGTCCTAATGTAGTAAGGCCTGTGTAGACTTTAGACCATCTGATATAAAGCAAAATCACAACACAGAATGGGTTAAATGATGAAACAAATTGTTCAATGGGGGTAATGCAAGCTTCGTATACAGAAAGAGCTTTATTTGATGGCAAACATTATAATGATCATAACTTGCAATGCACCAATTACCAATACTATCTACACAAACTAAATAAATAAATAAATCAGTAATTTACATAAAAATATGCATACAGAAAAATAAGATTCAAACTCAAGCATTGAGGTTTAAGAAAATAAAATGTTATGTTATTACTTATTTGTGATATTTATAAAATTGGAAAACTGGGCGTATCATGATTCTTCCCTGCACATTTGTCAGTGGGAAAACAACCCTCATAACCTCCATATGACGCCTTTATTTGGATTTGTTTTAACTTATCGTAGTAACGGTGATGTATAATTATTTTTTTCAGACCTACAATTTAAATGCTCAAATCGGTGAATCGTCAGCATGTGCTACTGCATTATTGTGTGGAGTAAAAGCCAATTTCGAAACAGTTGGCTTGGACGGAAATGGAAAATTTGAAAACTGTTATTCCAGTTTTGGGTCAAGAGTTGACTCATTGGCTTACTGGGCTCAACAGCAAGGTACGTGTTTTTTTTCAGAAATACTTATCCTATAGATATTGAATTTTACAATTTAAAAAGATTTATTATCCTAACCTAACGTTATTATTCTAACGTGAATATTTTTAAATTGAAAATTCAATGACGGTTTAGACTTTCTGGAGTTGATAGAGAATTATATAAGTTTTGTATGTAGTTCGTGTTCTTGAATGTAATGCAATATAATGTTATATTCTATAGCAAATAATAAAAACAACATAATATAATAATGATGTGCTATTACATATATTTACTTCTAATCCTATCTAGTTCGAGAACTCTGAAATTGCATACTATTATGTTAGGTGGATCTTTGCGTAATATAACTTTCTTCGTTATATTGATCACCACGTCTTGTTGTCCAACAAAGTTTATTCAGTATATTAAAACTGAATTAATTAAAATTTGCTTCAATAACCCGCTAAGTAGTTTACACAGTAGTCCACTGAAGATAATTATTCACCACGTGGAATTCATATTGTTGCAATAGTTTATTTGTTTACAATGAACATGATTTAAACAAATTTTGATAAACTCGTGTATGACATCTTAAAATAATATTCAAGTTATAATCACTAATATAATATTACGAAAACATGAATACAATTACAGAAAAATATAACGATAATTTAAAATTTACAGTTGTGAAATATTTACTATGATGGACATTGGTTCTAATCAAATGTATAAATAAAATTGAGTTTAAGATAATATTATATGCACGATAAACACTTAATGCACCATAATGATATTCTGATTACTTCAAGAACTCTGGAGTAAGACACATCTATTGCCTAGAAATAATCAATACATTGTGGAGTTCCAAGCTATAGTAATTTTTCAAAGCTATTAAAAAATATTTTATCCGTCCGTTTTTTAGAGCTTACATTTTTTTAGGCTTAACAGAGGACATGACAACCCCGTCGTTCTCTACGGCATGATGGATTTACGAGACACTGAAGCATGAAAGTTATAAAAGTTGTCAAAGATCTATATTTTTACCCAAAAGATTTTTAAAAAATCCTGTTGAAATATTTTAATAGAATAACATCTAGTGTTGAATACCAACAAATCTTAGAGACTTAGACGCTTTTACACGTAGGTAGTAATATCGATCTAACAAACCTGTGACTGTATTGTCTTGCATCAAACGAGTTTATAGAAAAATATTTTTCGTGTTAACGCAAAAACCGAAATGTGTTCTCATATTATAATTAAAAACTAAGTTCATTATAATATCATTATTTTTATCGTTTTGGCATTACAATGTGCAACACGAGTGTTCATAGAATAATCTCTGATGTTGGATACCGACCAATTTACGACGCTTTTACACGTAGTAACATCGATCTAACAAATATTAGACTGTATAGTCTTGCTGTAGATTTTTATTTAAAAAAATATCTTGAGGGAATTTTCAAAAAGTTGAAAATTTTATAATTTCTCATCAAATAAATTCATTGATATATATACAGTTATAATATATTACATTTTAATCTACACAATTATATTTAAAACTGTATACTTTTGTTACCCCCTTTTAATATTATTCTTTTAAACTTACCCAATATAAGAAATCTGAAATAAAAAATTAATTTTTCTCATTAATAAATGATAATTTATATACTTCAGTATAAATGTTGAGTGTATAAACTTATTCCTACATTTTAAGATTTTTTGGTTTTTTTCATCATTTATTGTTGGAATTTTAGATATTTCCACAATTTTACGCTAACCTCTTTATCTCAGTAGTTACTATAATTATAAGTTACTACAAATTGCATTGTACGTATCTAGTTTTAACACATGACCATAAGAAAGAACTATCTATACATGACAAATATATTTTATTTAAAAGGTAAAGTGCCGATATATTTTTATTTTAATTCATATTGTTTGTTTAATATCTAATTTAATAATACAAATTTGACTTGCGTATCAACTGTTCATCCTCAATATTTAATTATGTTTAGAAAAATACATTAAAAATCAAATTTTCCAAGAAAATTACAAATTGTCATTAAATTCCAATGAAATAAAAAATTTTCAACTGAAAACTTACAAGCTTACATATCTAGTCTTTCACTTTTACGTCAAACGGGTTTATAATAAATATTTCGTGATAAAGCAAAATCAAAATGTGTACTCATAATATAATAATAGAAACCAAGGTTCGTTATAATATTTTATCTTCTTGTCTCGACAATAGAGTACATGAGTCTTTTTTTTCATGCTTACATATTATAATATTAGTAACGTTGGTAGGTATTCGAAAATCGATTGGAAATTAAATAATAATAATATTACATGAAGCTTAATTTCCATTATAAATCACATTTTTTTATATTACCGAACATGAAAAATGTATCTTTGTTGATTCATCAAATCGCACATTTACATTTAAATACATTCATCTGTCATTACTAAATAGCATCCACATGAAGTATAACATTAGTCATTTTATTCTGTATAAATTATTAATAACAATATTTAGTTAGGTAGTTTAAAAAATACAGAATTTTTTTACTTTATATATTTACACAAATCATTCTTCATGCATATTAAATACCTATTTTTTTTATTTTTTTCAATTATAGATTAGTTATTAATTGAATTAAGTAGGTATTATAAGAAAACTACAGAGTGCAAGAATAATATCATTATCATGAAGTTTATTTTATTAATCAATATTATTTATATATATATTGAATCCTGATTTAAATAATTAAAAATGTATAAAAAACATTTAAGCAACATACAATATTAACTATTATTATATGTTTAAACATTTCATTATACTAATATTATTTTTCATTTCATTTGTCTTTTTGATCAATTTTTTTCATATTAGTTGTATTAATACTGTGACTTACTGTAAAATGAATAGTATCAAACATCATATTTAGTCTATGTCTTATTGTTAAATATCATTGACAATTCCTATAGATCTCTAAGCTCTCATCTCGGACATCCAAATTGAGATGTGAATGCGTGCATATTTAATTTTATGCCAAATTAAAATAAATTGTTGGAACATGTGTGTATTAAGAAAATAATTGGTGAGTATGTATTTTGATCTAGAAACAAATTAAAATACAAATCATACCATAGAAAATAATTGCTTTAAGTCCTCATCGTTTGGATACTTCTATAATGCCAATATTTTCAATTTTGCTAATTTATTTAATATTTAATGAAATATAATTAATTACACCTATACAAGAGGTTATCAGATGGATTTTAACCAGTTTTTAAGTGAGTATCTTCGAGTCAGATAATGTTGTTAAAACTATCTTACCTAAAGTGAATATTTTATTATCGATTATCGATGTAACACTTACCTCTGCAGTAGGTAGGCACCTGAAGTTGTGACGCCTGGATATTATAATAAAGGCACTATTTTGGAGTATCCGAAAAGAGACTGACGTCTGACCAACGGAAATGGAATTTCTAGGTTTTTATATGTTCAACGAAGGATATATTAGTTTCAACTTCGTTTAAGAAGAGTTGTGTGTATATCTGGGAATGTGAATGTGAATTAACTTTAAAGTTAATGGACTCTAGTGAACATGTGGTTTTTATGTAATTCCAGCTAGGTTATTTTTGTTACGATGACAAGAATATTTGGCTTTTAAATATTAGAATAGGAAATGTTGGTTAAAATGTTTTCAGCAAGAAATTCAGCTATTGTACAGACTACTCTCGGTTTAGCAGTTTTTCTTTTTTTACTTCCCTTAATGCGGGTTGTATCCTATCTATAAGTATAGTCCATACTAATTTGTTCGTATAAGTGCATAACGGCTTTAGTTTACTGAAATTGAATAATTATTAGCAAGCTAACTATATGGGCTTATATTTGCTTTGGTGATTACAAAATATTTGGACACTAGCATAATATACGTGTTGGTTTGAAGTTGTTCGTAGGTCCCAAAATACTTTTTTAATGCCAGTACGAATATCTTATAATTATTACTCGCTCTTGAATGATGTTTATAATAATAAAGTATTTAGGTTTTCTGTTATGTTGCCAACAAATTTACCTAAGTTTGAACATGACATATTTGATTCGCTTCATGTCCGTCCGACCATCCACATGTACTTTTCTAGTTTTCTCAGTATTTCTTAAAAAATAAGAATAAATAAGTTTGCACAAAATAAAAATATACAACTCGACTGAGTCTACAACTCAAAAATAATTCAACAATAATATATTATTACAACCTATATAATGTATATTAAGTTCCAGACATGTTTATAACACCTTAAACCCCTGTTGTGTCCATCCGTAGATCATAGGTTGGACCTACGTGTCCATCCTATGTCACCAAATACATAGTTAAGATTGTCGATTGTACATGGAACTATAATTTATGGTTATGTTTTAAAATACTTATAAAAACTAGTAATTTATCATACTCACAGAGTGAGCTTTTCTAACTTGTTTTATATTATGTACATAATTTTTATTAAAATCAATTCCAGAAGCCGGACGAGATATTGAGAACAGGTGTGAGTATTTTTTTTCTCTTACCAATCACGGTTCAGGGGTGTATTCTGTTATTTATATATGAAAAGCAACGATTCACTGTCGTATAAAAAAAATTCTGAGATTAACGCTTAATTTTTGGTTGACAATAATAGATTCCTTAATTATCACGTTTAAGGAAAAAATGACTTCTTCAAAATATCGCCCAAACACAATTTCCAATCTTTAAAGGTATTTGAAGTACTTGAATATTTCTTTTCTCTTTTTACATTTTTTTTTTTTTTTGATAAATTTAGACAAATTAATAAGGAATATAGTGTTACATTTTCAAGGTTTTTGACGAAGGGAAAAATTTTTATCGACATTATCTTAAAAAAAAAAAATAATAATCTACAATTTCATTTGCCTATAAATGAAAACACGAGTCAAAATATTTTGTAAATTTTATGATGTATAGAAAATGCGAATATAAACATTCAGTGAAAATTGTATATCT